CCGCGAGTTTGAGACCCCTGCTTTACATGGTAATAGTACCAAATAGATAGTTTGAATTCTCACTTACTATCTATATAGATTTACAGTATTTGCTGACAGTTGAAATACAATCGCCTTATATATATATACACACACAGTGGCGTAGCATCCACCCCCGCAACCCCCGCGGTCGCGGGAGGGCCCACAGCGCAAAGGGGCCCAAGCGGTTAGAATTTAGAAATTTGAGCCGCAAACCAAAAGCTACAGTGCAAAACAAGTAATGCAAGTTCTGCTCAAATCGTTTTGTTACGTAACAATGCTAGGAAGTCGTCGATTTTCGGCGTCTTGTGGTTTGATCGCACCGGCAAAATTACGAAAGCTGGCAGAATAATGTCGAAAGCAAAACCTCCCAATGGCGCACGGAAACGCAGAAAAAGGGCAGAAGAGGAAGAAAGTATGAAAAAAATTAACCAAGATAAACGGCAAATTTCAGGTTCCCTTTTTTTTAGCGACATGTTATGCTTTTTGACAAAATAAAAAAGCGTTGTTTTAGCTTAGGGGGGGTTGGCACGAGAGTCTTGCTACGCCACCCTATACCCAGTTAGGTGACATTGTTCTAGGCAAAATTGAGTCTAGAGAATTTGTGACAAATTCAAATTCTGTTGAATAAATATTAGATAGACAATATTCTTTAAGCAATCACTCACGCAAAGCGGGAATATTGCGGAGTGAAACCGCTTTTTCAATTGCATCGCTATTAGGCGAATTTTGTCAAATAGACAAGAGTCGATGATGACTGCCTCTCGGGGTTACAAAAACCTATTGCTTTGCAGGTCTACCATTCCGACATACATATTTATTCAACAAATTCTGTTGAATAAATATTAGATAGACAATATTCTTTAAGCAATCACTCACGCAAAGCGGGAATATTGCGGAGTGAAACCGCTTTTTCAATTGCATCGCTATTAGGCGACTTTTGTCAAATAGACAAGAGTCGATGATGACTGCCTCTCGGGGTTACAAAAACCTATTGCTTTGCAGGTCTACCATTCCAACATACATATTTATTCAACAAATTCTGTTGAATAAATATTAGATAGACAATATTCTTTAAGCAATCACTCACGCAAAGCGGGAATATTGCGGAGTGAAACCGCTTTTTCAATTGCATCGCTATTAGGCGACTTTTGTCAAATAGACAAGAGTCGATGATGACTGTCTCTCGGGGTTACAAAAACCTATTGCTTTGCAGAGTAAATACTTGAAAAACGTGTTTAAACAATGTGTTGCAACAATTGCATTTCATTGCGTGAGAGGTCTACCATTTCGACATACATATTTATTCAACAAATTCTGTTGAATAAATATTAGATAAACAATATTGTTTAAGCAATCACTTTCTAAATCTTGGTGGTAAGTCTGCGGTGAACTACTGCGTTGTAGCTGTTTCGTACTTTTTTAGCACCTGTATAAATTAGTTGTATAGCATCAATACGCGTTGATGATAGTACTTTGGTAAAAATCGCGTATTCAGCCATACATCAGTGATTTGGATTGATTGACTTTAATTTAGTCACTCTGAATACTCAGTTTTAGAAGAAATTCGAAGGTTTATGGTGTATATACCAGTGATCTCTTCTCGACTGCTGGCTTTTCTTAGAATCCTGCTGCATAGGGACGAAAGAAGATTCTAGATCAGATCGAAAGATCTTTATGGATAAATGCGCATATCACGCCTAAATACTCGGTTTTGACTCCTTGTAACAACAGGAGCAGAAACTATGGAATTTTGTGCAGGATGATCGCTAATATCACTTAAAAAGTAACAAAGCTTGACAAATCATAGATTATGACGTTGGTAAAAGGTTGTCGACCAGTCTACTGAAAGTACGAATGCCATAGGTCAAGGGTGGGCAACCTTTTTTCGGCTCGCGTGCCAAAATCAGTTAAATTTAACGACAAAATTCTTCCGCGTGCCGACCAAAATTGAAAACAATGCTTTGCCACTTTCAAAGCAAAATTACACAATAATAAACCTTTTGAACATGTGAGGACATATTCACTATACAAGAGAAATAGATTTGATTACTTTTCGTAATCTGTATCAGTGAGACTTCTGCTGCTGCACGCTAACAGAGATTTTACGTAGGGTTTATATCTTGTACCGTTTAGACCAGGGGTCACCAAACTACAGTCCCCGGGCCGGATCCGGCCCGCAATAACATGAAAAAATGGCGCATTTTTTTCCAAGGGATGTTTCCCCGAGCATCGACTTCCTTGTTTATTTCGTGACATTGGCCAATCAGCAAAATCCAAAACGTGACCTAACAATAAACCTTTTCGCATCCGCTCCAAATTTTCAGTTGTGGTTTCAATAATATCTCGTTTTCGCGATTTTGAATGCTATTCGTTAGTTTTTAGTTGCGATTCAGACATGTGCACATACTTCTGGAGGTCCATTTTTTCTTCTTAGGAGTTGTAGTTTAATCGCAGTAATCAAAAATTGTCCAAAGATAGCTGTGATAAAATAGGCTAAAATTCGATATCGGTACGCAGCGTTTCTGCGAAGGATGCACTCGTACCGTACACTCGTGGCGCGTGCTTTCGGCGAAACTGTTGCCGCGTACCTTTCTCGCGCTAAAATAAACGTCGAACGTGTATTTTGCGCTAATAGTACATTGAGTCACATTAGCTTTTGTACTGCTTACATAAAAATATTCATGACAGCAATTGTTATGTTAACAGATAACCTCGAGATAATTGTTAAACATGTTGTAGATTTGTTTTGCTATGACGTTCTTGATCTATATTCTGCGATATAGAGTTTATATTGTTGAATAAATTGAATGGGTTTCCCAACTTTTGGGAATTTATTGTATTGCACTGAAAAAAATATTTTTCCGGCCCGTTTCAACACAGTCTGAGTCATACCTGGCCCGCGGTCACAAAATTTGGTGACCCCTGCTTTAAACAAATACACGAACAACTGGTTTCATGTTTCGGCTACTCCTGTTACGAGACCTAATGAAGTCCATAACCGAGAACAGAGATTTACAAGCATATGTAAATGAAATCATGGAGAGGAATGCAGTTGCAAAGTTTTTGAGACATGAAAAATTTCCGGGAATGGCATCCCAATCACGCAATAGCTCGTTTTCTGCACTTCTCTCTTGTATTCCCTTTCCTAACCGCGTGTATTACCATCGAAATTAATTTATAACAGTAAGTTAGCAAGTAACTCTAACCGACATAGAAAAGGATTTACATATTTATCCCGGGTTAGAAAAAAGCCGATAAGACGACTTAATCATATGCCAAACCACGGCGTCTCGTCCGGTTACCAGTCCAATTCGGGTATGAGATTATTTAGCCAGTTATTTGTTTTTCATATGCATGGACTTGATGGTGGAGGTAGCCGTAAATCCACCTTGCGACGGCGAGTAGTTCAACAATCCTCTCGCACGTAACTATCCACGCATTGGATTCGAACATGCGAACCCACGCAGGACAATCAGCGGTGCGGTGGCTAGCGTATTCCTAGCGCTTAGCTCGATGCGCAACACCGCCAAGCTGTACAATTTCATAAATCAAGCAGAAATAAAGAAAAAGGGTGGCACAGACGAGCTATATTACGGAAGAATGTAGACAAATGAATGCTGCGTTCTTCTCGACAAAATATCTCGAGCTCACGCATTTGTTACGTCATAATATATTTCTTTGTAGCACTATGTCATGGAGAGACAAAAAGAGTTTAAATAAATAACGGATTGTTAACAAACGATAATGAATAAACGAACACCAAGTTTATTCATAATTCAAAATCCTGAAAATTTTTATCTGAAGGAGAACGATCTCGTTTTCGAGGCCTCGCTCGCGTGCCGAATAAATGGGCTCGCGTGCCAAGTTTAGCACGCCCTGCCATAAGTCATATTCATGAATCTCAGAGAAAGTGAGGTCTTGACTAACATATATAGTCCAACTCCCAGGAATCGTTTTGAAAGGTTTATGGATAAATTCGAAATTGAATAATGATATGTTTAAAGTGGATGTTGCCCCAAACTTCGTTTCGTATATTGCATTGAGTTGCGGAAGTGTAGAAAGTTCTGACAATAAGTTATCAAGCTCATGGTTTTTTGAAAAGATCTGATATTCAAGTGCAAGTCATAAGACAATTTTTATGGCGTTGTTCTACTAATAAATTCAAATCGGACACTACTGGACTTTTGCGTTCACATCTAACTTATTCCATTTAGCATTTTCGAATTACGTCTACGGGCAAATGTACAATGGACCTTGTGGTATGATGGGACGGTAGTGATTTCATTTGGACATTAATAGCAAAAATAAGGCTGAGATTGTGGTACGCTTGGGGAAGTGGAAGCGAGAATACTATGAAGGGGAATTGTTGGATCTCCGCTCTAGTAGACCCTTATTATCAGTCATTCTGTCTATCTGTCTGTGTATCTGTTGGATCTCCGCTCTAGGAGACCCTTATTCTCAGTAGGCTTCTGTCCGGAGATCCTGGGCGCCTACCGGCTTGTTTGTGATATATTTCACAATTTGATAAAGTTTGATCAAAGAATAGTAATTTGCTACATAAATGACATGTTAGTAATTATTATTTGTTCACATGTTTGTATGAGGGCGCTGCTCCGGTTATAGCTCAACGTATAGTTTGCGACAGGCTCACAAAAGGAGATGGGAATGTGTTTCTGCTTCGGGACGAAATAAATGTTTCACAGTAGCAGAAGATTTGCTCCGATATTATCTTTCTCGTTAGTTAATAAGGTCGGAATATTTGTATAAGCAATAGATTTCTCGATTCCACCCAGACTGGGTCGACTTCAAAGACTATTCCTGATATGGTCAAAATCGTACATCATGTTTGTACAGTTTGAAGTGAGATCAAGCACGATTTGAGGGATTGGTATGACATTCATTTTCTGCAATATTTTTGTTAAGATTAATATTGTACTTATAAATGTGTATAATTAGACTCAACTAACTGAAAAGACTGGTTTGAGAGAGGTTATTTATTTTATTTATTAGGACAGTAAAGTATGACGAGGACCCCAAGAGAATAAGAATTCTTGCATGTATATACTTATTTTTAAGAAACTGACATTGCATCTCTACAGCATGCTTGTCATCCGTGATTGTTCTTTTTATACCCTATCAAAGTTTTTTGGCAATAATGGCTTGTACGTCATACGGGGACTTCATTCCGGAAAATTCTTTTTCTCCTGTTACTGAATCAACGTATTCCTTCAAATCAAGTTGTTTGATAATTTCAAAACCATCCATTTTCTCTGCAGACTTCAATCTTTGGTCGTATGTTTCGTACATCACAAGCTTTTCGATTCCTCTCTGTCTGGCCAAAATAGCAGACCTTAACAAAATAATCCGTCTTAACTTGATTCGAATATAAAGCATAATTAAATAAAATTCCTAAATAAAATACTGTTATTCCGACTCAAAAAACGATAATAACTTTAAAGTGGGTCATCACGGAAGAGTTTTTTGAATTTGATTCTATAAAAAAAAATTCGGAATTTTCTACGCTCACTATTTACATGGAGTCGACTTAGTCTTTTCTTATGCTTTTTTTTTAAAACCCGCTTCAACGACAATCGACGCAGTTCGAAAACAGCCTTTGGTTACGTATACTGAGAACTCGTTCCAGAAGTTGTATTCATCGCACATTCATGAATAGGGTGTTTAACCCGTGATTTTTTGTATTTACTTCTAGTTCCTAATTGCGTAGTTTAATAAAGATTGAAATGACCAATGTAACGCTGGACAGAAATGTTTTATTGCATAGGAAGCCCAAACGGTAATCGGGCAATGACGCAATATTTATAACAAATCCCAATAACTCAAGTTTATATAGAAATAAACATAAATTTAATCACCATGTTTATTCACATAAATGTATCAGAATCTTTGTGAAGACTTTTAAAGCGCTTTCAAGATCATTCTAAACGGTCGGAAGACGCAAATTTTTGTTCAAAGACCACTCAGAGTATATATAATATGCTGAATAATATGTAGTAATATGCTGAAACTTCTGGACAAACCATGAGGTTTTTCAGCCAAATTCACTACTTGAGTGTTACTTTCGACACGAAGAAGAGTAGTATCCAGTTTAGTTGAGAAATGCAAAAATCTCGATTTGTCAATTTTGTAAAAATGTACAGTTGTGAACAGGAATTCTCAATCATGAAAATGGATGAATCTTAGCTACGGACTCGTTAACAAATGAACATTTAAATTCAGTGATGCGCATCGATATTTCTTCTTCGAAGTCCAGCATTTTGAATTCGTTCCGCCAAAATCCTTATCAAAGTTTTCAACGTTTTTGAGGATATTAAATTGATTCAGTAAATAGTTATTCTTTTTGGATTTTACTAGCCACATATTCTCATTCAAGTTGTGCACTCATGGAGCATAACCTACACAGTTTCACCAATGTTTCTACGACTATTTTTTATCAAATCAAGCAATAATCATCATCGTGCTTCTAATAACTCATACCTTTTAACAAGTTCAGTCATCAAACCTTTTCCTCGGTATTTCGGAAGCACAGTTAGCATTTTTATTTCCCAGTAACTGCCAGTTCCGAGGACGGTTGACAAGTCATTACCGAGCATCGACGTCAAGAGCTAAATCAAGATATATATTGAGATAAATATCAATTGTATCACAGGTAATTACATTCGGTAATAGAGACAGTCAATTGTTGTATTGCAATTTTTCAGGAGTTTTATGTTTATTTATTTATATGACCTTTAATACGACTGCATCGCGAAAATTCGATTTTGTAAGTCATTCAGAATTTTTTGATTTCATTAACTTTCCAGACAAAAAAATTCTAATTCCAATCAAATGATAATAGTCGTTGACATTTCTTTTGAGTAACCGATTTAAAGCATGTTACCCGATTTACAGTTGCTTCCTTTTCGCTTAAATGTAAGGTATTTTCGTATTTTATCCAATCCTTTTCATCAGGCTTTACATTAATAGCTACTCCGCGTAATTCATCATCTTTACCATGAAAAGCTCCAATTGAATTTCCCCGGCTTAGGAAAGGCTAAAAAGGAAATATGATATCCCAAATTAAATTCCTATGGAAAGTAGATGATCTCATAATTCAGGATTATTGTTAATATTAAATGGACACATGGAAAATTATCTGTGGAAGACGATAAACAGTAATACTTTATTTCACTCTCGAATGCTTTTGAGTATATATACAACGGAACAACAACTGACGGAATAACTTCAATAGTCTTACTGTAAGAATGAGATAGTGAATAATAAATGAGCTCTTAGTATACTTCTACAAGTAAGTAACAAAATTACTTGAACTTGGCATAAACAGGTTCAACAAACTTATATAAAGCAAAGAACAACTTTTAATTCTAATACCACAAAATAATAGTCGATTTTCGCACCTCTATTAGAGTATAATATGTTAGCATTGATGTTTCCTTAGTGCAATTCAAATGCTTTCCCAGGGCAGTATGTGGTGTGTAATTTTCTTCAATCAAAGCTCGAACTGCGGACAAATCGCCCAAGTCAAGAACTTTGTATGTGATATTACTTAATGAGGCCATATCCGAAATAAAGTATTCTGTATAACGTAAAATTAAACAAAAATGTAGTTGTTAAGGTTATTGCATTTTTGACTGGCAAGTTCGATGAATAAAAGTGTGACAAAATTATTGAATCATCAATAATAAGACGAGAATATCGGTCAGAGACCGAAGACTTATCGATCGAAAGTTATGGGATCCCCCAAAACAGCGCTCTTACTCCATAGTGACACCTTGTGTCCCCTCACTAATAATTAATAACCCGCTAATTATACGACATAATTCATCCAAAATCAATAGGCTTCTGGTACGACATATGATGAATGCACATGCAAAATCTGGAGCAGATTCAATCTCGCTTTCGTGAGATATCGCGTGCATCTAACAGACAGACAAATACCTATCGACATACTTACCGATTAAAATCGATAAGTAATAACGACGAATCGTTATACGAATATAAATTATGGTTGCATTGAAAAATAATCTAGAAGAAACTAAGATCGAAACTAGTAATATTCAAAAACAATTATGTTGAACAATCTAATCTAGATTCTCATTATTTTGCATATATATATATATTATTTCGTATAAAATGCCAAAAACAAGGCAATAGTCAGTCATTTAAAAATTGAAGAGATAAATTTACGTTATAGACGGCCTTGCCAAAGCGTCAATAACTTGAGTAGTTTTTTCCATTTGCAATTTAGTGGTGTATTTGTTGAACTTTTTAAGGCAGGGTGGTCCAAGGTTGCAAAGTTGAAGGGCCGCAAAAACTTTTGAAGACGTCTTGCGGGCCGCATTCGGAGAAAACCCAGAAGTGATCGAAATATCGCGAGTTTGCTTACTCTAAATTAAATAAACAACGAGAGGTTACCGTTCTAATTAGACTAATATTGCATTATAGTTGCAAACCTTTTTTGGGCGTAAATCTCCCTTTGCCTATGTTCTAGCTTCTACTTTCTCCCCAACTACGCATAATACTTTATTCGCATTTGCTATTCGATCTTTAACAGAACGTTCGCTTGCGATACGTGGAACTTGCACTCTGGATTTTCAATAATTTATAATACACGCATATATATGCATTACGCTAATACTAGATATGTAAGAGAATTAGTAATACCACGAGTAACGTAAATTGTAAAAGCAAAATCCCTACCTACCGTGTACGTGTACTATAGCTAAGAATCATGAGCGCACAATTAGAAACCAAAAGACGAAAACGTAAACCGAGACGAAGTAAATTGATCTTTTGGAAAGGAAATTGCTGCTTGGGGGTAATTAATCAGTGAGCGGTAGTTAATGCTACAAAAAAAGGAAATTGCTGCTTGGAGGTAATTAATCAGCGAGGATAAAAATTAAAATGCAGGAAGAGAGTTCGAAACATATTAAGCGAAACATTGAATTTGAAAATTTGAATTGCGAAGCGCAATAACCCGCGAAGTTTGTGATGTAACGCTCACGTTACCAATTTGTGTCTAGCGACAAGTTCCATTTGTTATTATTCTCGCATTGTGGTTTGTTTTTCTTATCATGAACATGTTGATAGTATTTTCATATTACTCCAACATTGCTTAGAATAATGTTGTCCAAGAGGTCCTTTTATCCCGCTTTAGCAATTATATCAGTTCGCTCAAAGCACTGTCAAGTTACGCATCGCGCCCAAGAAACCAGTGTTTTCATATTAAATTCATACAAAGGAAAAAGAAGTTTGCAATTTTACTCGTATGTATCCAACAAAACCATTTCAACTGCCAGAAAATTTCCCAGAAAATTGCCATTCGCTCATACAATGTCGTACAGCTGCTAGCACTTTTGTAGTGTATATAAAGATTTGAAAGTCATGTACCACGTATTTTTGAAGGTTTGGTGAGGTTTGCGAATATGATCGCTAGCAACGAAGGAAGAGTCGCGACGCAAGTAAAGAAGCGAGTCATGAAATGCGTGGATTTGATTCGAATCTCAGCCCTCGGCAGTGATTACAATATTATTCAAATAACAACAACAACCTACAAAAAAGAAATCAACAATAAATTTAAACAGTATTCTATCTAAAATAAACAGTAATTCTATCAGGTGGACACAATCGCGGTAATAATTCAGGGTCAGGAAAATTAGTTTTTCAACCAATACCTCTGAAATACGAATATGACGATCTAATGCTAAGAGGGAAGCATCTCCGCAATTTTGGATTCGAAAGTTTTCATTTCGGTTGAATACTTTGTAGCTAAAATAATACGAATGAATGATTTGCACATAAACGGAAGCGCAAATGATAGTGTCGGGAAAAAAAAAAGAAATGGATAAAACCATCACAGTTTATATTAGTCGCTATTTGCAACGTTATCTAGCTGATCCAGTGGTCGGCAAAGACTAAAATTAAAAATGAAATACAAAGGTGGTCATAAATGATAACATGCATCAAACCGAGAAATATATCAATCTGTATTATCTCAACCAACCATCACGTTTCATCTGTCATTCCGGTAGATCACAATATGTGCAACGATATTAAAACAAAAGAAATACCATGGCAGCTGTTTCAAATGGATTTATTTTTAAAAAAAACAGGCTGCTTGAATCTCCGACTTGGTAATGAAATTTTACCAGTCTGGAATGCTGCAAACCTTGTGTTTAGTGTCAGGCACATTCTCTTGGGACATTCATGTGAGATTTTTCCCAGTGCTTACTTTCCATGTTGATGAGTATACACAGTAATAAAACTTTTTCAGGATGCTCTTGCATTTCTAGATCAACCAGAACTGCCAGTAGGACAGGGAATTCATTCGAGTAAATTAACATTCAATCTATGCTGAATGCCGTACAAATTAACTCGAATCTTTTTGAATTGCCTCTCAAAGAGAAAGCTGCATAACATCATCAGTCAAGTCGTTATGCCAAGCGATGTCAGAGAACAACTGGTCGATGTGAAAAAATGATGATAAGACATACAAAAACTTCGAGATAGAAGGTTCATATAGAACAGCTCGACTTTCTGACACAGTTCATCGTACCAACACGAAAATATTTGCTTTAATTCACTTAGAGAGAGAGAGAGAGAGAGAGATGAAGTTGAATGCAAAGTCAGCAATTAAGAAGGAAGGTGCTCACAATAGAAGAAGCCAAAAAATCGCACAGGAGAGAGGTATTACAATGGACGTGCTACCTCAGAATGATGTATGTACAAATACTCTGTTGTTTAACGCCGGAGGATGTATGACTGAACCAATGAAAGGTACAATTGTCCACCAACTCAAAACGATATTTGGCCTCAGGTGACCTAAGTTACCTGCTATATTACGTCAAACACTCGTAAAATTCTGACCGGGAAGTATTCCTTAGATGCATTTTTGAGGTTTTACATGTGCATGTTACACGGAACGAGACGCGGCTATCACATGATATGAACAAGTTCTGGTAATCAATAAAATCAAGCTTGAATGTCTAATTCAAAAAGAGGCCATTGAAAGGAAAAAGGTTTCCATCATCGTTGCAAATAATTGTGAGCCATCTGAGGACTTGCTGACGGCATTTCCATTCCTTGTTGGTCAAATCCTCCTAATACTACAGTACAGTTATTCGGCCTCCAGAAGGAAGTGGGAAACGCTGACATTAATGGAACACCGCATGCGAAGCACGGCGTTATCAAGAACAAAACAGATCGCAGTTTTAGCATCCAGATACGATGTCTTCATCTTGTTTGTCTACTGCTGCAAAAACTAAACATGGAAGACCTCAACGAACTTTAGGTTGGAAATGGTGTTAGAGCAATTGGACCCGGTATGTTTGATATCCTTCCTGATATTCATGCATTAACCGACTGCGATTGGCACAAAATATGGAGCAATTTCTGTCGATGCAGACACATATTAAAGAGAGTTCCATGTGCTACGAAATGACCTAAAAAAATCGAAAGATAAGTCTCAAAATCTGAAAAAAGGAACCAGCTCGGAAACAATGGACCAGCTCCAAAGCTACAAATATCATTCAAAGCAAGCATTGTATATATATATGGTTACCCACCTGCAAATCACATCGGTAGAGCCTTTATTGCAACAAATGTGGACTATGCGGTGTCCCTAACTGCGTCTCAGCTGATTCTTGACTCGCGAGAGTTCGACTTTGAACTAGTTCAAGATTTTTTTTTGTTTTCGATAGAGGCAACAATCCGATTCCTGAATATCTTTCAATATAGCATACACATACAAGACGTGCGGGAAAAAACGATGCCATTGTTGCAAGTAGGAAAAGCCTGCTGTGCATCCTGTGATTGTGAAAGTGTCATCACGAGTGGTAATTACGTATGCCAAAACGCATTTGGTAGATGTTGCGATGAACGTGATTATTGGTTTTAAATAAAACAAGTTGATTAATTTTTTGGACAGGCGATGCAGAAAATGGCATTTCTCAAGTTTACGCGATGGTAGCTTTGTTTCAAAGTTGCTTTACTGAAAAACATGCAAATATTAACTTGTTTTTATTTCGAATCGAGCCTCTGTTTTATCCGCAGGGTTGGGACTGTTTATGAGTCGCTATTCGCTAATATGTTGATCTGATCTCCTCCCAGGAATGAATGGAAACCAGGGTTTTCAAATAAGGGGAGAAACCTTCTTCAAAATAACAGACCTAAATCTTGGGTAAAAGTTACACACACGATATAGGCCATAGCAGATACATCTAAGTTCCCATACTGACGTTGGTATTCGGCATTTCTCCCATTATAATGCAAGGTATGATGTTGGGACTTTTTCTTTATCTATTACTTGTGCATCAAATGAATATGGACAAAGCAGCTAACAATTTGAAAGTAGTGCTTATAAAAGTTTTTTTGACCACTCTAGTATTCTATGTCAGCGACTTTGTTGCTCCATTAACAGCTGCCTTTGTCGGACCCTTTTTATGTAAAAATAGCTATGGAAACTACATTGACCCGTGTTCAGCCATAAATCAGTGGTTACATGCAGTGATGAGCTGGGAAAATTATAACAATCGGAACGCACCTAATTCGCTAAAATGTGATATATTCACAACACGACGCGGACATTTATTGAACTGCGAAGAAATTATATGAAATATGTTTGTGTAAAATTATAGGAAAATTATAATCCAATATTATTAGAAAGGTATAGAATTTCCATAGGGTAAAAGGTCGGGGTAACATCATCGGGGTACACGTTATTGCTGTAGTAATATGCGTGATGTGACGTAAAAAGATTTACAAATTATGATGTAACAATAAATTAATTAAATTAAAGTTTACCATAGAAACTAGACTTGTTGTACCACAATTTTACTTCAACAACAGGAACGCAAATTCTGTAAAATGTCCAACAAACGAAACGCCGTGTGTGATCACGCTCGACCTTTTTCTAGCTATGTTTAATCGAACTCTTCACAATTGTGGTAAGCACAAAGACTTAATTATTAAAAGATACTTGCTTCAATCCGATTTCTTTCCGCTTTACAAATTCTTAAACTTTTCCTGGTCCACCTATATTTAACCAGATAAATTATGGGGTCAAACCCAACTCTATTTCACTATTTGAATAAATTGCATGCATTTATTTGCGAAGACTAAAGCCTAACCCGAATGGACATAAAAAAATTCCAAGAAAAGCCTATTTACATTGCTATACTTTTCATAAGATACGATCTTTAACACAACGCTTCTGTAAATGTCGTTGTAGTTTTCAAAAAAAAAACAGTAATGGAATTATATTTTGTTAAAGCAGCAGTTCCCAAAGAGGCGATTTGCTAAGTGCGCTACGGAATTTACCAAACTTGCGTTAAACAAAACCAATATATAAATGTTTTGTTTCTTCTTTTTAAATGCGGTGAATATGAATTAATAAATTCATTTTACCTTTCTATGTCGTTTATCTTCTTTTACGCAGTCTCTGCCTCTATTGTTACGTAACAAAAGAGGTACACAATACTTGCTGCAATTTCGCAAGCTGCAGTGTATTTATCTGCTGAACCGATTTTAGCGAACATGAGTGATTTTTCAGCATTTCGAATAAAAAGCACGCAGAGATGAGGAAGAAGAGTTCACTCTTTGTCTTTATTCTTTAGGCTTACATGTTAACAAACTTCAAAAAGTCAAAAGTACACATTATCAGTCATAAAATTGAGTTTTATTTGAAGGCACTAATTTTTAGTAAGTGCGTCGTGAATTTTTTCCTGACAAGTTAGCGCCGCACGAACTAAAAATTTAGAAATCGTTTATTTTTCTATTTGCTGAAGTCAACATCGGGGCATTCCGACAACTGCAGTTGGGTAGCTGCTTGAATTTCGCTCAGCGCATTTCCAACTTGTAAAACTTCTTCCACTGATGTACTTTCAGTCGAAGTGTAAACAAGAACAACTTTTTCATCTGGAAAATTGAAGGTTACAATTTAAAAAATACCCCACTCAGTCGTTAGAGCTTTAACGGCTTGTTTTTCAAGTGCTCGTTTAATTGGCACAATATTCACTAGTATAGCAAACAGAAGTTTCAACAAATGTGATTGAAACGAGCAAAAAATTTCAGACTGAAAAGACTATTATTAAGTGCGCCCCGCCCAGCCCCGCACCGCACGAAGACTTTAAAATATGAATATCAATTCGTTGCTAATCCAATTGTAGAAAAAATATTTTGCCACTGTGAAGATATTTTTTTATTAAAACCTTTCTGGTTCGTTGTTTGTATTTATTTTTATCTCGATTCCAGTGAGAAAATGGATAATACAAAAATTATAAACGGAATATTCACCGTCTTCTGCGTCACACAGCACGAGGATCATATAAGTGGAATAATCTGTGGCCACTGTAAGTTCTTCTTTGCCCATTCCTGTTTTTGTTGCTAAAATGCATAAAGCATTATCGTTACTGATAGTTCTTTACCTCATTTTATGTATTTAGATATTATTCAAGATCTCACCCTCAATAACAGCTTCCAAGTTATAATCTGTTGGAGTTATTTCGGAATCGGCTTCAATCGCCCCTTTTTCTCCTTGAAATTAAAAGTTTATATTAAATATATCGCTATTTATATTTATTACTCTGAATGTTTTCAATAGATACCTGCTCCATGATAAATAGAGGAACCATCTTGTTTTTCAGCATGAAACGTAAATCTTCGTGGATCAGCTCTGAAAGAATTTTGAGGGTAAGAATTTAAAATATAATGGCATCAGACGTAAGTTCGAGATGTCTTCTGAAATTGCGACTATAGTTTTTATGAAAATATATTTTCGTTGAAAATATTGATGAAAATAACGTCATAACGACCCCAACTTTTACATTGTGCTTTTTTTATTATATAAACGTTAGCCTAACTGTTTTAAACTGCATTTTGTTTATAGCTTTTCATAGTTTTGAGCCTCCGGCCCAGTAACTAAGTCTATGTAACTGGCCCACTCAGAAGTGTAATTGCCCTCCCCTTTTCTAATACAATGTTGATACATCATATTTACCCGGATAAGTAGTAATTCTTGATGTAGAGCCGAAATCCATGCGGCTCAGGATTCGTGATATTTTCTATTACTTGGCAAGCTACAACGTTTGAAAAAACTTCATCAGGTGTATGAATCGTCAAATACCATCTAGGTGGCATCTAAAAAGCAATTTTATTTATTCATTTTTTCGAACTAAATTGTTTTCCTATTCCATTTATTTAAAATAAAAATGAATTTCAAATTCGAGTTTTTTTTGTAATCAACACTATCAGTATTTAGTATGCACATGAATGAATATAACTGACAATTGCCATCCTAGTTTCATAAATCATAACAGATATAAACATGTGCATATGTATACAATAACAATCCAATATTTCACGAACAAAATAGAAACAGAATTCCAAAGTATAATGTCAAATCTTTAGCTCTTAGTTTTACGTACATTGTTCGTGGTTAAAAAATATGAGAAGAGATTTCAATCGTATTAACAAACAAGTTTTTATGAAACTCTAATTTCTCGCGTTTTGTTCAAATTTAAGTACTTCTGATTTTTGAAAAATTTCGATAAAACAGTTCCCTTGCATGTATTAAAATTTGTGTATATAATTCGATGAAGGTATCATAAGTTATAGATTCCAAAACAACGCCTCTTTTGTTTCTTGCTAACGTCAAAATATTAGATAACTTTACCTTGGACCAATCAATATCGTTCTTTGGCTCCTTTACATTGCATCCTAACTGGCTTCCACGTGCAGTCGCAAAATTATTTGCCACAAAAAAACTGCTAAGGTTGCAATTATTGCAGAATACATATTTATTGCAGATGTATATATATGATGTCTGCAAGCTAATGATAAACAATAGTAAATATATTAATACAAGAAAGATGAACAAATAAGGATTTGCTGCTTACAAACACATATGACTGAAGTTGAGTCTTCTGTTGATGGTGTAAGTCTAACCTATTCCAAATCTATGCTAAATTGTTTTCTGAGTTAAAATTCAGCTGTCAGCGCAATATAACAGATTATCCGGTTGAGATTGTCAAGCCGGATGAGGAAATTTTACAGTTGACAATTAAATGCCATTAATTATTTTTTCAGTTTCCGTTGATGATGCGATATCGGTAAGTCTTCTGTAAATATTTTTTAAAAAAATAAAAATAAAAGTTTTTCAACATATTGCAATTATTTTATAAAGCATTTCTCGCATTTTCTCTGGACAAGGATCTGCGCAAACCGTAGCTGATATGTTAAATATTTTATTTGAGTTTTTGACCAGAATTTCTCGAATTATTATTCCACATTGTCCCTCTAAATAAGATTGAAGCCTACGGATACGTAGTGGTCGTGATACCTGAGTAAAATGTATATATATATATATGGTATAACAAAAAATTGTTGTCCAAACCCAGACGTCAAATCAAACTCTTGTGTTCCGATCTAAAACTGGCGGCCAAATTACTATTTCCGTGGGAGTGAGGGCAGATGTTTGTTGGCTGTTTGGTGGAAGTGGTCAATGGGCCGACATGTAAAGCAATTTATTCCGAAAAGCATCTTTTGAATATTGTCAACAACGCACCATCTAACGGCAGGTAAAGATTTTGGTACGGGTACTATTATGATGAGCTCGTCTTTTGTCTTCAGCCCGCCAAACTCTCAGCGTCGGATACAAAAATTTTACAGTCCGTTCAGCCAGTTGGTCACTGTAATTATAGTGGTGAGGTTGCCAGTAATTTCTGTCTATTCAACTGTTTCTGTTGCTAACCAAACTCGAGAGTAATCCGTAGTGTTAATCTGACTGTTATCTGCCGTTAATTCCCATATCAGCTGCTAGTGAGATCACCATTTTGCATCACACTATTCTCATGTGTGCGCTGCGCAAACAGCAGAAAATAATCTCAATTGTATCGCTTTCACCGCCATGAGTTCACGAGGATAAATGTGGAACAATTTGCATTTAAAAAAAAATAGATTATCAATGCATTATATATTATGAGATATATAACAAATTATTAGCTTAGGCCCTTTCGGTACATACTGTCTTGTCCCGAGCTTCAAGTAAAATTAACAGTCCAATAAAAATAGAGAACACGAGACGAAGTATTTCTCATCAACGGACATATTCTCGAGCATATAGTTCCGGATTCTACATGTTTATAAATATTGTCGCATGAATGATTATAGTCATGTCAATGCATGCGCCAACTGAAACCTGAACAACAATTCACGGTTTATCTTGATTACCTAATAATCATTGTGTAATTCCAGTTCCAATTTATTAATTTGTTATTTATTTATGCGTGTTGAACCGATTGATTTATTAAAGCGTAGCGGAGTTCGACATGAGCTTAGCTCTGGTCGAATATGTCATAGTTTGGAAAAAAAGTTCGAAGCCGAGCGCAAGTGTTGCTAAAACAAGTGTCTAGTAAGAATGAAGGAGATACAACATAATTATAGTACAATGAACGGAAAATAAATTTATCTGCGAGATGATTATATCTCTGAACGGCCTCCTCCTAAGAGGACAAATTAGGTTCTTCACATCTGGTTTGATCAACTAAGTCTGTACTGCCAATCGAATGCAATTTTTATACGAAAACTTTTTATTATTGTGTTCAAGCAGGTTCGAATTCCAGGGAGGATAACTATGAGCGAGAGGATTCCTGTAGTCTTCGCTGCCTTATGGTGGTCGGTACGGCTTTCTCCACCATCAGGTTTGTGCATCTGAAACAAATAACTGGCAAACCGATTCCCTATACCTGACATGGTAATTTGACAAGAGGCTGTGGGTCGCAAAATGATTGGGCTGTCTTATCGGCATTCCCCTCCACCGGGATAAATATGTAAATCCCATCTTATCCCAAACGTCTATAGCTTGAATCAAAAAATGTGGTAAAAAGACGATGAAAATGGAGGATTGAGTCATAGGCATTGTTGATTCGAAACTTATTTCATTCTGTTTCCTCGAAAAACACATACCTACTAAAAACTAAACTACTACAAATTACTATTTCCTCCTGACTATACGATCACATATGCATATCTTTCATGAAACTATAGTTGAATTTATTGTTGAAACATAAAAGGAAGAAAAATAATATAAAAATTTAAATAACTCATACGAGTAAACTCTCTATTCCGTCCAAAATTTCTCGGGCCTCTTGCATAGAAACTTTCATTTCAGTCGGCTGCCGAGTTGGGCTAGAATGTCTTGAAGATAAATGAGATAAATTACTGAGTGAGCTTTTTGACAAGGGAATAACATTCAAGTCACATGGACGAGGAACGCGTCTTGTGTTGTACTGCGTTTCACCGCGAGCCAAAACGGGTGCCTGATGTACATACGAGTCTTTTGATGAATAGTTCACCTCGTACACAGCATCTAGTTGTCGATATGTGGAACATAGTTGAGCTGTAGTTGTGTTTGTGTTGTAATTAGAGGGTAATGTGGGATATGGTTGGGGCAATGGCGCTAGATGAGCATCAAAATCCGTTTGTCGTGGCCTATGTCCGTGTCTTAGGCCGTGATGTCGTAATCGATAGCACGCTCGTCTGTTGTCGTCTTCTTGGACTGCGTCGTACACACTGTGATGAGACGTTGCCTCGGACGGTGCAAAAGAGCCATTGTCAGTATTTGACGTAGAAGCATAAGAACATCTGCTACTGTTCTTCCTACTCGGGGCTTCTCTATCAGGACTGTAGCACCTGGATCTCAACTTGTCCCAATCGTAAGATATCGCACCGTTCGATGGATTTTGAAATCTACCTCCGATCTCATCTAAAATGATGGAAATTGTTAACAAAGGTGGTAGTTGATAAAAAATCAGATTTTGATAGATCTTCATCTCATACTGTTATTTTTAGAATACATTAGCATAATAATCATGTTTACTAATAGAACTTACTTTTTGTTGGCATCCAGCACTCATCACTGTGTCCATATATTCTGCATGTCTCGGTACATTGAGCTCCCAACTCTTTTCTTTGATGGTAGGCTGAATACAAAAAATAATTTAAGTTATAGTAATAAAACACAAAAAAGTATGAAAAAAATGTTATTAATATAATTTTACCTCTTGATTCATTGACTAAGAGACTCGCTGCTTCCACATCGCTTTCGCCTTTGCCGCTGTCACTGTCACACGCTGATGAAGCTCTACCGCCACCGACGTCTAATGATGGCACTGTCTGCAATTATAAATTGAAATCTCAATAGAAAATTGAGGTAAAATTTAAGCAGTTAGGGTTATTAAAATCGCTTCAGAAACTATTTTAGACATTTCTGTTCGCAATGTCAAATATTCAGTTCTAACGTACCAAATTGTGAGTGTGGTGGATATTGGTTGAACTCTTAAGATGTTCCGGAAGTATTTGCTTCGGTTCACTGCTTTCCTGAAAGCTCTCTGACTTGGTTCTGTGTGTGAAATAAGATTCCAATAAGAGAAATGCATGTTCACTTCATAAACAATAAATCTCATGTGTTATGTAACTTACAATTGATATTCTCCCTTTTCACCTTTTACGTTATTCATTTCTGTTGTACTATTTTTATTAAGAGATTTGACGGAGAGTCGGATTTCAGGTTTTGCAAATTTGTCTTGTGAATTTTGCCTGCTCAATCCTGCTTTGTTCATGCTGTTGATTTCCTGTGAAAAAAGGCACACATCCTTTATAAAATATTTTAATACCTTATATTGTATATCTAGTTTTGTTATGGTTTGTTTACCTCACAGTTTGAAATAATTCATTGTAATTAGAAGACTTACCCTGTTCATTCTCCGGCATTTAACGACGACTCCAATGATTAAAAACACCAAAAACGCTGCTGCACAGCCCAGTGAAATAGCAAGGACCAGGAAATTAACTGACGCGGACGAGACCTCCATATTTCTCCTGTTACTGTTACCATACTCTCCCACTGCAATTCTAAGAAGAATGTTTGTTTCTTGAGGTACAGGGCCGGAATCTTTAGCCTGGTGAGTTTAAAATAAAAATAGGTTAATGTTGGATACTAACAATAATGATAGAAGTTAGCGTTTTGAATAATATGGTTTTTTCTTATTTCTAGAAGACAATTTACCTTTATTATGATACTGTGCACTCCAATTGCATTTGTGACATTCGGCTTGCTGAAATTAAGGCGAAGATCACCACTGACCGGATTCAAAATAAAATATGAATTGGTGTTATTTAAATATGACTTCTTTTCCGATGACGTCAGTTTGGGAATGATGTAATAAGACACTTTTCCGTTCTTGTCGTGATCAACATCTCTGGCCTGAAGGTAGGTAGTGACATTTTGAGTTTGGTGGATCAAAATTCGTAAGGATTTCAAATATTACAAAAATTCATGTAATGAATATGATGAATACGGAATTAAGTACAAAACTTCCCTCCAAATACTACCGGAACAAGGGTATAGTCACACTCACACGATTAGGCTATAATATATAGCATTTCGTACGTTTCATTTGCTTTGAAATTATAATCAAAATTTTAAATATAAAACACCGTGAAACTAACATTTCAGTCACTGTGCACTTTAATGCGGTATATCCACTGTACGAGTGCGTATTTAAGTATGTTTGAGTGTAAAAAAAAATTAGTTACCTTAATCGTAGTTATGACTTCATTGGTTGAAATATCCGCATATATTAAAGAATTATTTACTCCTGGGTTGACGAATATCGGTGCATTGTCATTAACATCAGTAACTTTGACGATAACTGTCGAAAAACTTTCCAGAAATGGCGATCCTCCGTCTCTCGCGGATACCGTGAGCTGTGAGATAAAAATATACAATAAGATTTGGAAATCACTTTGTTTGTATGAATTCTATTATTGCGTGAGAACCCACCTTCCATTCCGATCTTTTTTCCCGGTCTAGTGGTGAAATCAATCGAATAAGTCCTGTTCCTTTGTCAATGCTGAAAACTCCTGCGTTCCCACGCGTGATCGAAAATGTTACGTCACCGTTACGAGATTTTACAATATGGTCGGTCTAAATAGAAAATGATCATAATTGAAACATTGTGATGAAAAATAATTATTAGTAAAAAAAGCAGGATCGTCATAAAATAAAACAGACCTTGTTACGTGTGAGTGCAAATCCGTTTGCACTATCTCCGTCGTTGGCAATAATTTTGGCCACTGTTGTTCCCACATAAGCATCTTCACGCATCGTTACAGTTTTAAGTGGCGTTGCTATGTTTGGCGCGTATTCATTTACGTCCAAAATAACGACAGTGATTTCTTTATTAGAACACCTAATAATAATGTTTGAAATTAATATAATTTACATAATTGACGTTACAGAATTTCTCAGAATCGAGATATACCAAATTAGTTATACGGCTTTTACTAATCATGAAATTATCGTGGCTGAATTTGATCTTTATGATTGTGGGAGAGGAAAAACTTCGCAAAATCTAAATCTTACCTTTGTGGGGTACCTTGATCGCAAGCTCTGATAAATATTCGATACTGACTACAAGTCTCTCTGTCAAAAATTTCTCGAGTTTCCAAAAACCCATCCTCTGTGAGAGCAAAATGTCGGTCATTCTGGTCTGAAAGAAACACAAAAAATTACAATAAGAGTTAAAAATGACGTGAGAGAGTTTAAAAAAGGGAATTTAAATAAGGAGGCCAGTTCATACCTTTGTCATTTTTGTTTCTTTTTGAGTTCGCTCGAAGCGTTGTAAGAGATACTTCAAGTTTTCCATTCTTGCCGTGATCAGAATCGCTTACTGATATCTTAGCGATATAACTCCCGTTCCCAGTGGATTCGGAAACATAGACTGCGAAAATGTAAGAATTTACTTTAATGTACTAAATTCTAAATTGTCATCTCGAGGTTTTGGTACAAAACTCACCAGTATCTTCGTCCGATTGTGATATGTAATCGGCCGTAATAACCGGCGAGTTATCGTTGATGTCTTTAACGTTGATCGTTAACCATGTCTCACCAGTTTTGGGATTTTCGGGATCAGAATCTCTTGCTTCGATTAGTACACGAAGTCTGAATATAAAGAAATTGTATAATAAAAGTTAAGCATAAATTTTATTGCAACTTACGGCCTAATATGATTTTAAAAGGGCTTCGAGTAGACGTCCGACTCTGAATAAAGATTAAATGGATTTTATATGTATTCCAGTAATAGGGTAGCGACCCAGCCAAAATCGATTATGCTAGGGGTGAGCCAACTCGTTCTCTCGTAATAAAAAAATTCCTCGCGAAATTTACTTTGAATGACTTGAGAAAAATGGGCGTATAACTTTAAAAGAGAGAAACTATATATATATTGCATCAATTTGCCTACTACATTTTGAAGTATTTATTTGTATCAACTATTAACATACCCGTTATGCTTCTCCCTGTCAAGGGACTCTCTGATCCACACTGTTCCCCGGTTTTCATCAATTCTGGCTAATTTTTGAACTAGTTTGCTGTTTCTCGTGGATATAAAATAACGAATGTGGCCGTAAAGACCGCTGTCTGGATCATGAGCTTTTAACATAGCAATTGTGGTGCCACGAGGTGCGTTTTCTTCGATGGAAATAATATACTCCTGGAAAAGGGTAAATGGATAATTGTTAACAAAACTATAGAATTTTACTTGGACAATGTCGGCCCAAAAGTAAAATCGGCAAAACAAGCTTGTCTCTTCATTTAATTATAGAGTCAAGGTTTGCTTCGGATTTTTGGGGTGCTTTGAAGTTCTAAGAAATCAAGCCTATAAAATGAATTTACGTTTGGGATTGAAAATTTCCATATTGTGTTTTGTATTATATTTGATTAAATTCAGAAATAAATGCTATTTGAATAAATCTTACCTCCTCCTCAAATATTGGTTGATTATCATTCACATCAATTATATTAATCACCAAGCGCATCTGCCCTGCCAATGAAGGAGCGCCCGCATCTCTGGCCCAGACGTCTAATTTAATTTCAGGAGCAGTTTCGTGATCTAAAAGTGACAAATTGAATGAACGCACGATTATATTATGAAATTGACAGAAAATTGAATCACAAATGATTACAATTAAGCTAAAAATTTGTCACGGGTGGGATAGGAACGTTGATCAAATGGTCAAAAATTGATGTTGTTGTACTCACCAAGCTCGTCAATAACATACAGGCGAAGATGAGAAGAATTTTTATCGTCCACAAAAAATTTCAAATTGAATTGTTTGTTTTGTGTCGTAGTATATCGAAGATGAGAATTTCGGCCTGTTTATGAATAAGAAAACATGATTTAAATTATGAACTAATATAATACTATCATATTTGAATACCTTGTGCCATCTTAACATGTATTTATTGAGGCCTCGCTTCAAGAAAGTGATTCCTTACCGAAATCGTAGTCTTTAGCTTGGTACGCGTCAAGGTTTATGACGTCACCAATTGCAGAACTTTCAGAAACATTCAACTGGAGCGTTGCTACTGGAAACGTAGGTTTGTTGTCGTTTACGTCATCAATAACGATATCCAATTCAACCAACTTGAATGCGGCGTGTGGTAGAACCGCGATCTAGAAGCAATAAAACTTGCGTTTGTTTTAGGTGGAGAATAGGGTAAATTTTCGGGATACTGTTATGTCAGTGCTTTCACACAGCGAAATTCGACTTACTTACAATATTGCCAAATGAGATATATTTTTACCATGAGCAGGGTTATGGGTACTGTTACACAATACCTCAAAATTAAATGGCTTATCATATTACTACTAAAGGCTTACCTGAGCTTTGATTATGCATGTTTGGACACCAGAGCAAATTTCATCTCTATCGAAGACTTTGGCTAGTTTGACTGTACCCGTATTTCGTTCAATCTCCAGAAATTTCTCTTTGATTTTTAGATCAGTTTCGAAACCATTTGAAATTGCGTGAACCTTTTGTGAAATTAATTTGTAGGTCCGTGAATGGCTATTCCTGCTCCCAGTAATGAGTTGCGAAACTTCAACCACGATTTCACCTGAAAGTAACAGACGATGCCAGTGAAAAACGCGCCGAATATAGTAGTTTGTAAACAAAGAAAGATATATAATAGGTAAAAATAGCTATGTAAAGTCTGGTAACGCTGATGTTGATGAAATATATTCTAGACTGCCTCATTTATTTAAAATATAAAACAAAAATACAAATAAATTAAAGCCAAATTACGAATTTGAAAAAAATTGCGACAATCTTGCGGATGTGAGCCGTTTCGAAATATACGAATGAATTGAGTTTCTCACAGGTAAACCATGCGTTGTCCAATGAAACAAAACAACAAAAAATAACAAAGTCTTGCTCCAATAAGATAACACGATTAGATCACGAAATTAGGTATGTCATTTGCAAAGTTTTCCAAAAGGGCAACTTCTAAAAATAACTACGCTTTTCACGATGTAGATTCAAGAATCGAACCCCTGTATTCTACGGCCCAATCTTCAGCAATACATATTGAATTTCACTAAGGCGATGCCAACGTAAACACTAAATTTGTTTAGGCATACATAATTGATTATAATATAATGACGCTGGCTTGCGAGTTCGCTTTCATCCTTCTCAACCTAACCAAGAACGCTGAGATGTCAACAAACGAAAGAACAAAATATGAAAATAGGAAGTTAGATTATATCATACTAAAAGTACACGGACGTAGTAGGACGATTTCATCATCGTCTGACTTTGAATTCAAGCAAATATCATCATTTAATAACTTAAACCGTAACTATTGTAAACTAGCAAATAATCTAAAATACATCAAAATAATATCAATTGCGATTTACTGATTTTAGTTGATTAAATACATGCTATCGAGAGGTAATGCAATATTTTAAACCCAAGATAACGACAGAAACACGGGCCGGTGAAAACTCCAAATAATCTTTCATTTAGGCGATTGGGAAATAGATAAAACAGCCCTTTGCATGGACGGAATATTATAAATTGGAAAGACCGGGAATTTACGATTATGATATAACACTCTAAAAGTGGCTATTAAAATTGAATCTCAATCCATTCGGTGAGTATAAATACAAATATAATATAATTAGGCAAAAAGTTGGTGTAAAATACCTTTGCTTATACTTTCTTGAATGTGTACAGTTGATTTCACTCGTCGTGGAGCTGCATTTCCATGTTCCAAAATACAAAATAATAAAACTACACTGCGTAACAAGTCCACCATGGTGGCTGTCGCCTGGACAAACGCTAAATAAATTATGCTACACGTTGAACAGTGTTTAAATCTAAATAAAATTCAATAATTTTAAATTAGTTCAAGCCTAAATTAAATCAAAATGGTCGAAAATTTTTCGTGCCATGTCGGCTGAAATTTGAGTAACCGATATACGCTTCAATGATTCAAACTATTTATTGAGTTTAGAGCACTCGAAATATGGTTGTATCCGAAAATATTGTTAAAATTAAATTCGATATCTCCCCAGTAGAAAGCAATATGTTTCGCGCAGTCGGGCGGAATACGTGAGCCTTTGTTTTCTTACAAAATTTAGCCGCGTGGAATCGATTTGTCTCGCAAGCCGTGAAATACAATTTATTCCGTATGGTCGAAGATTTCGGACTCTTGTCCGTTCTAGGGCCACGATTTCGTTATTTAGTCAAGTGTATACAGTAAACGATTGAAGAGTTTGTCGTGCTCTTTCTATGTCTATGCGTGGCTCTCGCACTGGCTTCTTGGTAAATTTCGGCGGTGTACTAAAAGAGAACTTCGAACGGATTTTCTGCTACGCTGAATCAAAATCTGCGGGTGTTGAATTAATCCTCATTTAGTCCTTTTATCTATTTGCTAATCCTGAACCATTAAACGGGTCAGAATATCTTGTAATAGGCTTAGTCCTGGGCAATGTTTAACTAAAATGAGGCGATATGTGAATAACTTCCAATCGCCGCCTGTGGAAAACTAATGGAGAGCTTGAAAACAGACGATGAACAAACGAAAAGGATCGAGTGTTGTTTAGGCCGTTTTGAACGGCAGGTGGTAAGCGACTGCCATCGCGGTAAATTTGAAAGCATAACGTGCTACGAGTTACGTTGTAACGGTCGTTTAACTCAAACAGATCTCATTGCCGATAAGCCGGTAGTAAATAGAAGTTTTTTACCATGACATTTCAGTAAAAATAATATATCTTATGGTAAAACTAATCATCCGTACATAAGCACCAAATGCGACAATGATATGCTATACAGTATGTTGACAGAAAACGACACCAAACATGTTTTACCAAACGAAGTTAATTTTATGCAAAAGAGAACAAATTTTTTCAAAATAATTTTGCTAGTCTCAAATTACGGGTTTCCTTCATTTTAAAGAAAGACCAGTCACCCCAGAATTTAATTTGTTTTAGTTTATTTTACCCACCGCTGAGCAACTGTAATCGGAGTAGCGTAAACAGATATAACTTTGGGGTAGCGTCACGTCATTCGGACTTCTCCAAATTGAGGGAAATAGAAAACAATGTTCTGTCCCATCTCTGCATAAGTCTAAAATCGGACAGGGTAAAGGGTTACTGTTTTTGTTTAAACCGCACACACGAAATAGACACCATAGAACTACTTAACCATGTCTTTACCCCCGTATCCTGAAACCCAAAACCCATGTGAAACGAGTAGCGTTAGGCTATGTGAGATGCGAAATCCGGCTGCAAATTGGAAATGGGTTATGTTTTTTACAGATCTAATTTAAGCCAAGTGTAACCCTTAGAAATTCTAATTTATAGAAATCGATTCGTTCATGTTTTATACTCGATCGGTATATATTTAACCAGATAGCAAATAAGGCAATCTGCAATACAACAAGTGCCAATACAACGCGTTCGACAGCTGCTGGCGACAGTGCCTACTCGAAAAAGCCATCTAATTACTGCAGGTGAATGGCACGCGGCTCGGTCGTACCGCGGTATCGGATTAGTGTTATTATCACCAAATGATTCAATAAAACCAAAGTCAGCCGCAAACATTTGCAACAAAAGCCTTCAATTCTTTGTTAATAGGGGATTTTACACACTACCTTTTGGATTGGACCAAGACACGCGATAGAGCTATTTCAACTTTTGAACGTAAACATACCCGTAGTTAATCACATTGCCTGCTTGGAGATCAAATAGTTTGTCGTGGAAAAAAATCGTGAAGCACGGTCCTAAATCATTATATATATAAATTATATGTTTTCAATTTGTCGACCTATTTGGTTCACAAAAACAAAAAACCCAAGGCAGATAAGTGCAATAACGAAAAATCTACATTATCTATTCAAAAACATAGCTAGAGTAAATATGACATATCGCACCAATCAAAAACCTTATCTTTGATCTTTACCTTTATTTTAACCTAGTAACGTTTTTTCTCCGACCATGCCTAATAAAATATACTTTTGAATTGGGGCGCGCAATTATAAATATACATCAACGTCAATCCTATCGCGTTACAGTAACTAAACCCCTTTACTTGGATTTTTGACTGAGACAGATTTGACTTCTCTTTGATCTTCAGATTCCCAATCAGCAAATCCACGACGTAAGCTGTATTTCCTCACTTCGTGTTTGTACCTGAATCTAACGTTACAGTAACCTAATTTAACAGTTTAAAGTGCGCACTATGGGAAAGTTTAATTTTGACCAAATAAAGTTTACACATAATATACATCAGAAAGGGTGGATACGACCACGGAAACACTGAACTATAACCGGAAAAACTATTTTATATACAGGCGTGAATCTGTTAATCATCCTAACTACTGTTTATTCTATTGTAAACTGTAAACAACAAAACTAAAAACTAATGTAAATCTTACAATTGTATGCTTTCCAAGTGTCATGCATGTTGATTTATTTATCCTGACATTCTCGGAATTCTTCCTCGCGGAATCAATTTAAAGTCTTGAAAATTCAATTCCTTTATTTACCGTTTGACGAGACTGCATTTTAATCTCATTACTCTTAACGCGTGAAATCCATATAATTCCATTTCTAATCCAATCGAGACAATAATTTTGAAAGAAAATTTTGGAGAATAAATCAGGAAATTCGTACAAAAAATCTTTGAATTGGGAAAGACCAAATCGCAATAAAAATGTTCATAATAAACAATTCCGGCAGCAAATATCAACTTCAATGTTAATTAAAATTAATGTATACAATAACATATATATATATATATAACTTAAACTGCACTAAATTTTGTGCTCGCTCTCTACAGTATCGTCTTCACGAAAAATCTGTCGGGTCTGTGATAGTTCATCAAGCGAAAAGTATATTGGGTTTGCATAATATTAAAATAACTGACGCGTATCTAATGAAAGATTATAAAAATATGTTGCCGATTCAAAACTCCGTCGATATATGTGCGAAATTTTATATATAGTGCATACTAGAATATACATACACATATCTATGATGCAAGAATGCTTACTTTGTTGTGACCGAGTAATTTTGATCGAACTCTACATTTTGATGTTTCTACAATTATTATTTTGAAATTATTTGAATACAACATATTTATAGAACAGGTTCGGATCAAGAAAACTTAAATTTAGATATAAATATATAAAAACCTGTTAACTTTAATTAGCAAATTGACTTTTCAAGTTTCGCTTCTCGCTGTTCGATATAAATATTTCGCTAAATTCTGCCCCAATCCACTATTTCTCTTTTTACCAATTTTAATATAACGTCACCGTTCTCTGCCTTTCCTCAATCAACAAATTGTCCATGAACAATGTTTCTTTCTCATATTGCGTCATTTCTTATCAAACTTTTCTCCGTTAAAATGCAATTAGAAATGATAAGAACCCTTTGATGAGATCTTGTTGACCTGGTACTGCCATCGAAACTATGTTGTGGGTGGAGATTGACTGACTATCTGTTTTTGTGTCACTTTAGATAACACTAAACAACAATCTATTCTTGCTCCATTTGCTTTAATAGAATGATTAAATTAACTTCGGATTAACTTTGTATCAAACTTGCCCTGCTACACTCGCCTCAATTTATCAATGTTACATCTTTGGTTACATCATATATAAAACGTACGTTTGGAGCTAGACCGCATGACGACGTTTTCGCGACACTGTCCAGAACACACGTCAAAGTGTCGACCTTTTATATTAGCAGCGTAAAAGCTTTCTTGAAAATGTTACGTTCGATCAAAAAACATGGTAGATATAAATTCATTTTTTTTTATCAAAAGACGGAAACCCGTTTCTATACATAACATATGCTCACGCTGGGGCGAGTATAGATAGATACTTCTGTGATAGCAAAATGACCAGACAAGCCGTTGTTAGCACTATGATAAAACCACCGCCAATCGTAGTTCCGATTTTCTTCCGGCGGTAGAGCGAAGTCTGTACTGTATCAAATCTGACAAGCTGTTTTCCGTCTGGTCTACTATTCCGAATTGTCCCTTAGAAATTAAGACGGAGTGCAACTTACCGCCCACTGAGCGAGCTTGCCATTCTCTCGACACTCGACAAAAATCTGACCCTCGCACCCCTAAATGCTACAGACCCACGACTAGCCAGTCTTGTCGTACGCGTGGAACTCTTGAAACATTTTTACACTCTCGACATTTCTTTTGTCTGTTGCAGGGTAATCCGTTCGTGCGACTGTTGGTCACGTAAACGCCCATCAAATTTGGATGAGATAATAGTTTATTAGTAACGCCAATTAATACTAATACCCACAGCTTCACATCAGCTCGAAAACATAATAATCAACACGCGTAAATCCTGTAAGTACACTCCCTTTTAAACAAATAGACTATTATTATTCCCCAAAAGTTGGGGTGGGATTTAGATAATGTTTTTGTCTATGAGACTCGTTTTCCCTTACGACATAATTTTAACACCACTCTATGTTTTATAAACTCTACATTAGTGCTGAGAGCCAATGTCGTTGTTACTCAATCTTTCGTTGCCCGCTTTTCATTGGAATGTAAATAAGCGGAAATTTAATTTTTTTTCATTACTGACTTTTTTTTTTATGTTCGAACGACGTTTTTTTTACGCACCATTAGAATCACGTGTCGGTGACACATTCGCATGTCGCATGCAGATATGGTACATATATGATACATTCATAGGATTGAATCCGAATTTCTGATTTCAAAGCTTTATCCGACTGCATTTTTGATCAATTTTATTATTCATATTATTATTTCCGCCCTATTAAACGTTTAAATTACAAGGTTAAAACATGTTTTTGATTTACGCGCTAAATTTGTTTAATTAACA